TTTACTCGATCATTTGGACCTATTTCTACAGTACTAGAATAGCACTTTCTGAATAGTTTCTTGCTTGTGCTACAGTTTGCTGTTAAAGGTTAGCAGTCACATTAAGAATATTTTGCAGCTCTGGAAAGAGAGCCCTCAGCTGGAGTGATAGCTCTGATAAACTTGGGTCATGATTCCTAAAGTTGAAAGGTGGGGAGTGGTGCTTCTGCAGTAGTCTTTGACATGGAATGTGTAGTGTTCACTTTGCTTTGAATTTGGACTAATAGTTCAGCATCTCCGTGCAGGGCTATCATAGAATGCTATGGTACAATAGAGCTCCTATTGATTTCATGCAGATCTTATCTGGCAAAATCTGGCCCTGGACACTTTTTTGTCTTCAGCCCAGCTAAGTGGAAGTCAAAGAGCTGCTGACAATAGGAAGTATTTTTGGTGTGGAACGCATGAAAAAGGACTGTGGCTCAATTAAAACAAACAACAAGGTTATTGTTTGGGATGCCGCCACCAAGGCGGCACTTACTGGATGCGTAGGTGGAAATTGCAGCATATACTTTGACATGCAATTCATTACAGTCACTTCCTCGTTATTTTCATCTCTCGCATCTCTGAGCTCAGGGCTGGGAGCGGCTCTGGGCACTGCGGCAGAGCCGGTAGGTCGCTGCTGGCTGCAGGGGCACCAGGCTGCAGCTGTTGGCATGGGGTCCCGTGGGCTGGCTGGGCTTCAGTCACTGCCTGCACTGTGTCTGAATGCAGCTCTGGTTGCATCGGGCATCAAGTTGGCTTCAATGGCTCTGAAGGGGAGTTTTGGCTTGCTGTCAATTCAAACTCAATCATTTGCAGAAAATCAGAAAAAAGTGGTATTATGACCTCGTAGCACTATTTGCTCCTATCCCCCACCACAAGTGGTGAGGGAAGCGGGCACCTTCCTATTGCAGACGGGCTCCTGAGGCAGGGCCATGCAGAGAACCCTTGGCCTAGTCCTGGGAGCCCTGACTCATGCCTGTCCATGCTTCTGGACACATTTCCTTGCTGCCCCGAGAAGATAAATTTCAAGTAGCTTGCTTGACAATACCTTAAACACATGCCTTTTAAGAATGACTTGTTTGTATGCAAATGGATTGGTTTTAATGACTGTCCAGTTCCTCAATGTGGGCTTTATGTTTGAGCAACAGCATCATTTGTTTGTATTTCTGCCAAATGATGGTATTTCTTACTTGTGGAAACTTCCGCTGTGATCATCAGAATACAAGATAGCCCGTGTTTGAAGTGGCAATGTGCAAGGCCTTTCTGCTGTGTTTCCAAAAAGCCAGCTTTTAAAGTCATTTTCCCAACAAGAAAAAATGACAGGTTTTGTTTAATTTTTCAGGAAGTACCAATAGCTGTAGAGTCTAGTGGGGGAAACTGGCCTCCTGCAATACCTCCTATGTAGGGAGTGGCTGCTAGTAGAGATGCTGCTGTGTGCTACATGGGATCAGACCAAATGATGGACACTTCGGTCAGTGCAAACATACAGCAAAGTAATTGCCAACAGCAAATGTCAGGGAGTTCAGACACCATTCCACTGCACGTACCATGTGTGTGAGAACTCAGATAAGGGTGTAGTGTCAAACCCTTAGGATTTAGGAGTTGCTAATTCCAGCCCTGAACATTTCATTTCCCTCTTAGTCTTGTCTGTTCTCCAGCCTGGAAACCCCTCCCAATTAGATGATGAAACAGGGCAAGTTTATCTGCAGTGCAGGGAGCTCTGGACACATGCTGGAATCGAGGCTTAGCCCTTGCAGTGGACATGTGCAAAGCCATGGTTTCCAAGTGTTATGAATTAAAACTAGCCAGCTGTGGGCAGCTATTTACAGTGCAGTAAGAAATGCTTCACCCGTGCCTCGCTAGCCAAATTTGGGGGCTCAGCAAGGCACTGACATGAACTCCTTGCTTCGTGTAGTTGCTGCAGCCTCTGTTAAGTGTGCACTGTGCTCTCTTCCTTTAATGAAGATGAATATGCTATAAATCATGTATGGGAACTAGCCCAGAAACCTACTTGCAGCTGTATTCCCAAAAGGCATTTCATAATTTATTCTAACACATGCAGTATGTTTAAATCAGCAAGGAGAGCTGGGTTAGCCCAGCCCATAGCTTTCTCCTGTTGATAGATCTCTTATGTGCAGGGCTGCACAGTCTCAGTTGCAAGTTCTTCAGTCTCACCCTGCCCTTTCCACCCAGCACAGTGCTGCCAGGGCTTGAGACTGTGGCTCCAGGGCTCGGTGGTGTGTGGTTCGCCCTCTGAGGGACTAAAATGTGTTCCAGTGGTGAATAACTTAAATGTCTTTTCTAGTTGGCGTAAGAGATCTCACCAACTTCTTGTGCTTTCCAGTTTTAAGTTTCACTTTTTCTGCAACCTTACCTCTCTCCTACCGCAGTGCTTCTCCTCCTTTCTCCCTCTGGTCTGTTATTTGTGCCCTACCCCTACTGAACGAATAAATTCTTGCTATTAATTGCCAGTCCAGCACCCAAGGACCCTGTTTCTGGTGCAAGGCTGTGGATGTTAACCTGAAACAACTGATGGATGATGGCAAGTTCCTTCAGTGCATGGCAATGTAGCTGAGTAACTGCTGGAAGAGTAAGGTAGCACAGGGCCTGAGTTCTTGAGACAAACACCTGTAGCCTGCACACACGACGTTTCCAAACCACAGTCACCCATGTACAGAGCAGTACTGGCCATGCTGCCACCTTTCTGCTGCACAGCTGTGCCTGGTGTGGGCCCATCTTTGGGCCTCTCTGTGCAAGGACATGGTCTGCTGGGCTGGCAATGTCGAGTGCTGCCTGCCAGGAGGTGTCTTTCCCTTCAGGGTTGGGCCAGTCACCAGCCTGGGGACAGCAGGTAATGGTCCTTGGCCAACACGCTGTGTCATACTGGGCTCTTGGTACTGAGCTGGTGCTGGCAGACCTACAGAAGGAGATGGAATGAAGGCAGGGACTTCAGTTCTCTCTGTTTCACTACATGTGCCTTTTTCAGTCACCATACCTGACAGAAGCCATGCCTCTGGAGCTTTGAGTGCAGGCTGCAGCCAGCGCCAGCATTTGCCATGGTGTTCAGTCCCTTCAGCTGGTGGTGGGAGTGCATCCGTTCAGAGGTATGCTGTCTAAAATGAGTTAAGCTGCTCCAAAAGAATCTGCTTAAAAATAGCAACAGTCACTTAGCAGTGCTAGAGCGTGGGGCCCGGAAGCTGTGAGGGGCCAAGAGCACGTTTATTCAGGGTCATATCAGAGATGCACACCCCTGAGTGCTACAGGCTCTGTGAGTGTAATGATGCAGTGTCTCCTGAGGTGCTCTGAGGCAGCCTAGGAAGGGAGAGCTCTGGCTTGCTGTGGGTTGCCCCATCAGCTCCTGCCCACCCAGCCCCTGCACAGTGGCTGCAGTCCATGTGCACAAGGCCCTTCCTGCTGCTGTGCCCACCCTGCTCCCAGTGCTGCCACACTAGGTAGCTGATGAGTTAATTTCCTTTGCGTTCTGTGCTGTGTGTCCCTGCCTCCTCCCTGCATTTCCCCTGATGAAACCCAATTGCTCGGGAGCTGCTCTGCTGGATGGCCGTTTTGGAGTCATCCTCTGATTTAATCTCTTGTTTATTAAGGCTAATTTGTGTCCAGTACTTTCCTTTCTCACTCGGACGTACTTATTCTCCTCAGCCATTTCAGGTCACATCAAGTCATTGTGCTGTGCTGCTCATTGCCCATGCATCAGCTGATGTCTCCGGTTAGATTTCTGCAGCACTAACTATCTGATATTTGGCTAGAAACTCTTCCTGTTTACATCAGTGAAGAGTTTGGATCTGACTGGGTTTTCTGTGGTTTTGGCTTTTTTTTTTTTTTTTTTTTGTTCTTTTCCACATCCCTTCTAGCAGTAACTGTATTTGCTTATTATCTTCAAGTGTTTGCACGTCGCTTCAGGGTACTGTATTTGACCCTAATTTTCCTTTGCAGTGGAGATCAGGTATTCCTTGCACATCTTCCTGGATTATAGCATTCTATCTTATTATTACATATTCATTTTTCTTCATTGTCTCTTCTTTATTTTGTGGAAGTAAAGATCATCACCAAAAAATGACTAATCACCATGTTGCTGTCCACCTGTCTCTTCCCTGCAGTACTGCAGAAGAAGGCAGTACAGCTCTTTGATGCAATTCCTTTTTGACTTCCTTCTGGTAGCAGAACACCGGGTGGTTTATCTCATGGGCAGTTTTCTTTTCTGTAGAGATGGAGGGCTGTTGGAAATACAAGAGAGAAAAAACAGTAAATTCTGATCTTAATCAGCAATCAGTCCAGTATTTAGAACTCAACATTTCCTATGGTGGCTTAGAAGGATATTTGATGCAAGTCATAGTCCATGACTCAGGTGCCATGTATTTTGCCATTAAGTAGCATTTTGAATGTGGGTGAACTGAAGTAAGTTGTGCTCTGTGGCAGTCCTGGCAAGCCTGTGTACCTTTCCAGCATTTTCTCTTTATCGCTGCTGCAGCAAAAGAAGCATTTCTCTGGAGAATCTTTAAGAAGTTATCCTACTTCTTCATGTTGATCTCCACTTAACATTTCTTGTGAATGTCTCTTTTTCTCAAGTTAAAAACGTACCCTGTCACCAGACACTGCTGGTAAGTTTACTTACCATAATTATGTGCTTCAGTAATGCTGTTGTTGAGTAGCAGCTTTGTCCTTTTTTTAACAGTATAAGTGACAAAGAGGTTCTGGTGGGGGACTGCAGAGCTCCTGGTAGGTGGACTTGGGTAGGTGGGCTGTGCATGCGGCTCCGCGCTTGGGTCGTGGTGGTGGCTAGCAGCGTGTGTGCTGTGCTAATGAGGAGCTGCACTATGCAAGCAGCAACTGCTGAAGGGAACAAGGGATCACAGCAGCTTGTGTTTGCACTGCCAGAATCTCCTTCATCTAAATTCCACACACATCGCTTACAAGAAATAAAGCAATCCTATAGCACAACAAAGACCCCTAAAACTACAAATGAAATCTATCAAGCGTAGAGGCCATGCTGCACGGTGCATCCTGAGGACCGCCCCTGGGAGAGCTGGGCACCTGAACCATGTTGGTAGGTTCCACTGTTCGGCTGAATCAGGAGTGCGAGCTCTTAAAATGTGGCAGTGATAGGTGGTGATTGTGGTGAGCATTTACGGTATTAGTCAAAGGGCACTTCTCATTAATTGTCCTTGGGAGTATTTCTGTTACATTCCCATGTGGATTTATCTTTCCATCATAACTTACTGGGGAGTTTCAGTGCTGGTTTGATCTCAAGGATGCATTACACAACACGCTGTAGGCTTTCGTATCAGTGTCTCTGCCCGTGCATGCTTGTCTGGTGGCTGATTTTTCAGAGGAGTTGGTGACGTCAGCCAGACATCTGAGGTGAAGATAAAGCCCTTGATCTGCCCATAGCACCCGCAGTTCTGGTTAGCTGAAGTGCTCTAGCAACTTGCACTCAAAACATAGTAGGTTTAAAACCGCGGTGAGTATGCGCACAAATATTCCAGCACATCTCAGAAACCACTATGAATGGCAACAGAGGTGAACGAAACACAACAGCTAAAAGGGCCTGTGAAACGTGAGCACATGGTAAGGCTGTAGCCAGCATCTGAGATCACAGCCAATATAGAGCTGGAAGGACGCAGAGGCCGCGCCAAGCCTCTGGTGGGGGTGGGAGGCTGTGTGGGACCAGTTTGTCTCCCTGCACACACAGGGCCTCAGTGCCGCCATGGGACACATTGAGATGGGTGTCAGAAGGACCAGGTCGGAGGCAGCCAGGGACCTGCTGCCACATCACGTCCTGGATGGATTTCAAACCTTGCAGAAGGACTTTCTTGCTATCTCATGTGGCCGGGGAGTGCTGGCTGTGGGAGGCTGAGCTCTGGCCTTGCTCTTTTTCCAGGAGGATGATTCCCGTGACCGAGTTTCGGCAGTTCTCAGAGCAGCAGCCGGCGTTCAGGGTGCTGAAGCCCTGGTGGGATGTGTTCACAGACTATCTCTCTGTGGCCATGCTGATGATCGGCGTGTTTGGGTGCACACTGCAGGTAAATCGGCTGGGGCAGGGATGGGCGGTTCTTGCAGAAGTGTTGGGAGAGCGGTGATGCCATGGGTTGTTAATCACTTGAATTTGCAGTGAACAAAGCAAAATTTGCAGCTCCCAGGATTAAAGCTGTTTAGGCAGAAACATCAAATAGCACAGCCAGACTTTCCACAGCTGCAAATCAGTAGAGCTGTGCTAGGGTCAGTGAAGTGGTGCCAGCTTAGATAAGAACTGTTGGTTTGGTTTGTGCCTGGATGCCTGTTTTCACCACAATTTGGCATGACAAAACAGATGATCAAATTAAGTTCTTACATATTATCCCATTTTTGCTTAGGAGCTTGAAAAAATGCAATTCTGTAATTTCTGTTTTTCCTTTATTTGGCAAGCATTAATACTTTTTGCTTTTATGTTTCAAAGTGATTTGAAATGGATGTGCTTATTTTATTAACGCCACCCACAACTAATATAATGCTTCCTCCATTCCAAAGCAGCTCCGAACATGCTTACATGTAAACAATTGACATTACTGTCACTCACTGTAGCCAAATTTTGCTTAAGAGCCAAAAGCTGAAGAGAGATGGAAAATACTGTCTGGGATGGACTCCACACAAGCAGTTACAGTACTAGCTCAGACATGGGTCTCTCAGTTTTTGCCATGACTCAGAAATGGAGCTCTCATACTGATAGAGCTCTTATTTCAGGAAGGTTTTGCTCACGTATGTGGCATAAGATTTTCACATATTATGTCCCATATTTAATGTGGAATCTACTGTGGTTTTACCTGGATTCACCATTTCAGATATTTTCACTGAAGAACATACAGTGTCCATGTTTAAAAACCTCTCCTATACAGTGCTGTTTTTTTCCATCAACAGCAAAGTGTTTGCTTAAGCACATGATGTAAAGCTTCTTGGTTTTAAATATATCTGCTTGATTGGATGAAGCCCACTGGAAAACACTGTGAGGAAACGCTTCAAACTTATTCCAGCTTATTACCAGAGGCATGAATCCGGGGTGTAAGTAATGGTGTATATCAGAATAACATTTACAGGCAAAGATTAACAGTAAGAGTTTCTGAAGTGTCGACAGTCACTGTTAGAAACATGTAGTCTCGTCTCCCTGCACCAGGGCAGATTGTCAAGGAGGACCTGTTTTGGAAGCTCTTGTTGCATACTCTATTCATAGTGCTTTCAGCAACCACCATGTCAAAGGGTACATCCACAATACAGAAGAAGGCACGTTCTTAGTTCAGGATGATCCCAGTTAATCATTCAGGGCAAATAACAGGACTCCTTGGTTTGTCACATGGATTCATATTTTAAGTTCAGACCTCTGGGGACTGTGGCAAGTAACTCAGGCTTATCCCGAATTAAACCAAAGGTGATTGGTCCCTTAAGGCAGTCTCACCTGACTGCCAATGTGGATGGACAGCCTAAATTAAGGAAGTTGCTCTTTTTTGTGTTACAGACTCAGGAGCAGAAGTACTTTATTCCCACTGGAGTGTCATAGAAGAACTCTATATGAGACGCTGAATAAAACAGTGCCCATGTGCACATGTATAAAACACAACGCTCTAAGTATCCCTACCTGGCCTTACTAAGACTGAAGATAAAGAATGTCCCAGCACAGATGTGCTCATGTTGACTCTGTCAGCCATTTTGGATGTGATAGACATCACTGTTTGAGTGTAAAGTCACACAGATTCAGTCACACTGCTTTCAAGCCTAAGCTGTATGAATGCCATGTTGCACTTTGCTAGGGTGAATATACCCAGTGAGAACAGTCTGTCTCTGGAGAGAGCAGTGTAAGAGATCCCTGGTCTTTTGTGAAAACATTACTCATGTTTTTCCTTTTCCTGGTTTATCTCAGTGCCCCCTTATCCAAATAATGGAATGCTAACCATCAATGAAAAGGGGTGACCTAGTTCTTGGCATATAGAACAAGTATCTTGTTGGGACCGATAACAGTAATAGTCATCTCACAGACTGTGGGACCAAGAGCTAGGCTATGGGGTGGAATGCCTGACAGCTGGAGGAACTCCAGGGGCAGTTACCCAGTCATACTGCCATCATTGTTTGTACATCATTTTAAAAGATATCTTTTTGTGTGTTTCAGGTCATGCAAGACAAGATAATATGCCTTCCAAAGCGAGTCCAGCCTTGCCAGAACCAATCTAATACTTCAGTCGTAATTAGCACAATCCCAGATACAACCCCTCTTCCTCCACCCAAGCCATCAACTCCTCCAGCTACAGTTGAAATGAAAGGACTGAAGACTGATTTGGACCTTCAGCAGTACAGCTTTATTAATCAGGTGTGCTACGAACGTGCCCTGCACTGGTATGCCAAGTACTTCCCTTACCTTGTCCTTATACACACGCTGGTCTTCATGCTGTGTAGCAACTTTTGGTTCAAATTCCCTGGATCGAGCTCCAAAATTGAACACTTCATTTCAATACTTGGGAAATGTTTTGATTCTCCGTGGACAACAAGGGCCTTATCTGAAGTGTCAGGAGAAGACTCTGAAGAGAAAGATAACAGGAAGAACAACATAAACAAATCTAATACTACCCAACCAAGCACTGAAGGCACTTTGGTCAAGACACAGTCTTTAAAATCAATCCCTGAGAAGCTGGTTGTGGATAAGGGAACACATGGGGCACTAGACAAGAAAGAAGGTGAACAGGCCAAAGCACTGTTCGAAAAGGTGAAGAAATTTAGACTGCATGTTGAGGAGGGGGACATACTCTATGTCATGTATGTTCGCCAGACTGTACTGAAGGTAATTAAATTCCTTATTATCATTGCTTACAACACAGCACTTGTCTCAGAAGTTAATTTTACAGTCGTCTGTAATGTTGATATAGAAGACATGACAGGATACAAGAATTTTTGCTGTAATCACACAATGGCACATCTATTCTCTAAACTGTCATACTGCTACCTGTGCTTTGTAAGCATCTATGGCCTCACATGCCTTTATACTCTATACTGGCTGTTCTATCGCTCACTGAAAGAGTATTCCTTTGAATATGTCCGGCAGGAGACAGGAATTGATGATATCCCAGATGTCAAGAATGACTTTGCTTTTATGCTTCATATGATAGATCAGTATGATCCTCTCTATTCGAAGAGGTTTGCTGTCTTTCTGTCTGAAGTCAGTGAAAATAAGCTGAAACAGCTGAACTTAAACAATGAGTGGACTGCAGATAAACTAAGACAGAGGCTACAAATGAACTCCCATAGCCATTTGGAGCTACAGCTTTTCATGCTCTCTGGGCTACCTGACACAGTGTTTGAAATTACTGAGCTGCAGTCTTTAAAACTTGAAATCATTAATAACGTAATGATACCAGCAACCATTGCACAGTTGGACAATCTCCAGGAGCTGTCACTGCACCAGTGTTCTGTTAAGATCCACAGCGCTGCCTTGGCCTTTCTGAAGGAGAATCTCAAGATCCTGAGTGTGAAATTTGACGACATCAGAGAACTTCCGCACTGGATGTATGGCCTCAGAAATCTGGAAGAACTCTACTTAATTGGCTCCTTAAGTCATGATATTTCCAAAAACATTACATTGGAATCTTTTCGGGAACTTAAAAGCCTTAAAGTTCTTTACATAAAAAGTAATTTGTCAAAAATCCCACAATCTGCAGTCGATGTTTCAAGTCACCTGCAAAAGTTGTGCATCCATAACGACGGCACTAAGCTAGTGATGCTCAACAACCTGAAGAAGATGGTCAACTTGACACAGCTGGAACTGGTTCACTGTGATTTAGAGCGCATACCTCACGCAGTCTTTAGCCTTCTCAGTCTTCAGGAGTTGGATTTAAAGGAAAACAACCTCAAATCCATTGAAGAAATAGTAAGTTTTCAACATCTGAGAAAACTGACAATCCTAAAGCTGTGGTACAACAGTATAACATACATCCCAGAGCACATAAAGAAACTCACTAGTCTCGAACGGCTTTCCTTCAGCCATAACAAAATAGAGGTTCTTCCATCCCACCTGTTCCTATGCAACAAAATCAGATATTTGGATTTGTCTTACAATGACATTCGCTTTATTCCCCCTGAAATAGGAGTCCTGCAGAGTTTACAGTACTTTTCTATTACTTGCAACAAAGTGGAGAGTGTGCCAGATGAACTATACTTTTGCAAAAAACTTAAGACTCTGAAAATTGGGAAAAATAATTTGTCTGTCCTTTCACCTAAAATTGGTAATTTGGTATTCCTCTCCCACTTGGATATTAAAGGCAATCATTTTGAAATTCTCCCACCAGAACTTGGTGAATGTAGGTCTCTGAAGCGGACTGGTTTCACTGTAGAGGACACTTTGTTTGAAACGTTGCCTTCTGATGTCAGGGAACAAATGAAAGCTGAATAAATAGCTTCCTCTTCCTCAGTTTTACAGAAATAACGCTTCTACCAAATACCCTGTAGAAAGTGCATACTCTGAATATGCATTCAGTTTGTTATCTTTTTTTTTTTTTTTTGCCTTTTCAAAAAGTCCTTTCTGTACAAACAAATTTGGAGTAAGGAGTACATATATTTTTAAAATAAAATTTTCTTGTATTTTTTCACTGTTTTAAGATATTTTAAAGTTTATTTTGCCCTGACAGCAAGGGTGTTTGTAACTTAATTTTTACTAGCAAAAGTAAGTGGTTTTATCTGCTGTTGGTTGTTTTTTTTCTTTTTTTTCCCTCTTTGGTAAATCCCAATAGGGAAATTGTATTTAAACTGTATGTTTTGAATTGCATAATTTGTAACAGGTAATTATATTGTCTTCCTGGTTACTGTTAATCTCTTAGGATGAGGTCTTCAACAGGTAGTACTGCAGGTGCTGAATGCCTCATTCCCTCTTTTTTTTTTTTGTGGGAGCTGAAGGTGTTCAACATCTAACAAGGTCTGGGTTGACCTTTAATTTATGGCACTGTTTTCTCAGATGGTCAAAGCAAGCAGATACGGTTCTTTCCATACAAGGGCTGGAGGTATTTTCATAAGTTGGAGGGAACATGCAGAACTTCTCCAGGGCCTTTTGGAAAGCGTAGTCTAGGTCTGTTTGCCTGCTGTCCGAGCAGGAGGCACTGACTGCGATTTCCGCTCCGGAGCCGGAGGAGTAAGGGCACAGGTCAGAGAGGAGTCCCTACCAAAATGACTCATGCTGAAGATTTTATGAACAGTGCAAAGGGATTCAGCTGCCCGTTTCCTGCTGACGTGAATGGAAGGGGTGCAATGAACTCGCAGTGTTGAAAAAGTCAACCCAGGGAGATAAAACACTATTTTCAAAAATGCTCTACCCATCTTCCACTTAATGTGCGGTCCTGCAAGGGAGAAAGTGTCCTCTGTGTCTCTCAGTCACTTCCCACAGGGATGCTTGGCACCATGCAGGACCGGGATTCAGAAAAAGTGCAATCATCTTTAGCTTGTGAACCTTCTGGCAAGGAAATAACATTATTTTTAGCAGTGAACATGCTCCTTATTTAAGCTTTGGTATTGCCAAGCCCAACACAAGAACATTTGCAGATTTGCAAAAATGGGATTCATTGAATACATTAACTTTTTCAAAGTCTCAGCCTCCAGAGGACAGTGATGAAGGCTCTGTTTTCCTCTCCCAGATAGTAATTAAATCAGAGGTCATACATTTGGAGGTCTGTCTGCTTTTTAAAATAATTTAATAGACAATAATATCTTTAGTGATTATGCTTCAAGTTGGGAACTTTGTCCTCTGAAACTGTTCTGTTTATTTATCCAGCTGCTTGCTTTCTTCTAGGCAAGCTTGGTAGACATAGTCCATGAACACTCACGTGCTGCTCGCAAGCTAATTTAAGCTAATAAAAAATGACCATATGATTGCAAAGTGCTTGGCTGGGAGGAGATCTTTTCATCCTATCCAGCAATGCACATTGAGTCAGATGCAGGCACTGGATAAATGCTTTGCAAGAATATCTAGGAGTAAGTACTTCTTTCTCTAGGAGCCAATGCTGTTCATAAGTTGCAAATTGTTCAAAGTTCTGTAAAATAACTGCTTGACTATGGCTGGGTTGGTTGCTCTTAAATGTTTTCTAGCTGCAATCAAGTGTTTTGAACCACCATCGTTCTGAGTTCTTGAGCTTATTGTTGTTTTGAGTCAGACTTACACAGGTGGGGAGACAAAATGAGTATTTCCCCATTCATTCAGGGTGTGATGCACAATCCAATAAGTAGGTTTGCCCCTAGACTCAGTGAGTAATTTGTTGTACTTGAGCGTGTTCTGGAGAAGATCTGTGTGATTAATCAAAGCTGGGTCAGGCTTTGATTCATGAATCAAAATGATTTTTTTCCAAGTGGTTTGATTTAGTTCTATGAAAGAGCTATAACTGATGTAGCTGTTGCAAGAGCTACTCTTAGTCATATATGGAAAGCACTTATTGGAGCAGCTTGGCAGTATATATATATTCTAAATGTGTTTCACTTTGATGTAATGTGAGGGAGAGAAATGTTTCGTTGCTCATATTAACCTAATTATGTAAACCAAAGTGCTGTTGTCCCTGATGAATGTAAACTGTTTAAAATGTCCAAGTAATCAGTGGAGCTGTATAGTTGTCTTATTTAGATTTGGAATACGGGATTACATTTGAAGTTTTGTTGTTTTTTTTTTTATCTTTATATTCCTAGATGTCGCATTTTAAGCCTATAATTTATTTTGTGTCTAATGTTGTTCCATGTGCAGCGCTCTGTCTTCTGAACGGAAATTATGCACACCTCATAACTGAAGGCTGGAGATTTGTTCTGTTCTCTGTTTTTAAATACATCATAGAGGATGTGGGGGTTTTCTTTGCCACTGATTATATTTATGCCATTGCAGTTCCTCATGTGGACGCAGTTACATGAGTATAAAGTGCCTTGTGCTGGTATTTCCGTAATCACTTTCTGCATAGGAATAAATCTTACCAGCCTAAGCACTTTCAAGTTAATAACTGTATCTTCCCCAATGGCTTGGTCTGCTGGAACAGCTTATTCAATGGAACAGCTCGCTGCCCCTGAGGAGGAATTTCCTTGGTGTCCTTCCTCATCCCCTGCTCCCATTCCACAGCATCTGACTGCTTCGCTCGTACCTTTATGGTTCTGGTGCTTGCCTGTTTCCTCCACAGGACAAATCAACATACTGAGCCAGCAGAAAACAAAGCCAGTAAGAAAAAAAAAAAAAAAGAAAAGGACACATTTGCTGCAGGCTCAGCTCTCTGAAGGATCGATGGCAAGGGCCCGGGGCTGCAGCCAGGGTCTGTGCCTGGAGCAGTTGGATGGGTCGCTCTGGAGATGCTAGGTCAGCTCAGCACTTGGAGAGCCGTGTGCTGTGTCTGTAACAGAGTCAGGTGGCAGCCTTTCGTGGGTAGACAGCCCTCAGGCTTGTGGTGAATGAAAAAAATATCAGATCACTGTTAAACTGATTGAAACAAACTCAGGTAGCTGCACTGCTGACTTTTCTATACTTACTATCTAGTCTGTGGGGTGCATTTTCCTAAACTGTGTTACAGTATTTTAGAAGTGTGTCAGCACAGAGAAGATTGTTTCCTAATTCTGTATGACCTCCTGGAAAACATATAAAAGTGCCATATTTACTCAGTGATTCATGTACTGCTCATATGTATATTCATGTGCAATTGTGTACTAGAAAACTTTTCTGTGAACTACAGTATTTGGCTTGGAATGGATGGACTTTTTATGGATAATCAGGCATGGTTTGTATGAGTTCATATAATTAATTACACTAATCAGGTGCCTAATGATAACTAATACAATGGCCAGAATATAAGAGAGTCATTTAACATTATTGCTTTAAAATAATGCAAGTCTTCCTTGGTAGCAGAAGCAGAGGCGACAGCATGCCTCAAAAAAAAGAAGACAATCTTAATTGTGCATTAAGCCTGAAAAACAAAACTACTTTGAGATCAAAATTGGACAGTGTGCACTTCCCCCTTTGTCACAGTTAGGATGGATATCATGCTGACCTTGTGCATCTAGCCAATTCAGCAGCTTCTGCAAATGGTGATTGTGAAGCGCCCGCTCCAAGTCTCATATTGCGGTTCTGGCACTTCCACTTCTTGGGTTGAGTGGTGACAGGTCCTGTAAGAATGCCAAGGAAAAACTCTGAGATTTGACCAAATGGACAAACACCTTAATTCTGTACCAAGAATCTGAATTTGTCAATAGATCTGCCTAGTGTTACATTGCAATATAGTGCACCCAGGAAAAAGTGAAATAAAACATTCTTTTATAATAATGAGCACGGTCAGACTGCAATGTGTTTATTTCTTGGGAAACATTTTGTTTCTGGGCTCCCCATAGATGAAGCACAACCATCTTTTAGGTTTGATCTCGCGGGAGGGAAGTCAGGAAAACATGCTTGAGAAAACATCGTTAGGCGTGACAGGATTTACGGTGACACCGTTTGGCTTCCTGCACTCCTTCCCTTCCATGGCTCCCAGCTTGAAGGCACACAATGAAGCCGTCCCTGGGGAGCAGCTCCCTGCCTGCGCCATGTGGGAAATGATGCTGCGAGCCCTGGTGCTGACGCAACCCTCGATAAATCTCTCTGCTCAACGCGATGCACTTGTGCTGCTCACACTCGGTATGGTATGTGTTCCTCACTTCTTTAGTTGGGAGCAATGACACGATGTAGCAAGGATGTGGAGGGCTGGGAGAGCTGCTCCACTCCCTGTAGCCTCACAGGAGATAGCATCTTGGGTCTCTCCCATTGGGATGGGCACGGAAATGCTGGCCAAATGGTAAAGGGGTCCCTGGGGCAGCAAGGCCACACTGTCAGCGCTGATGTCACCTGTTCTTTAAACTCTGTTGTTGCAGGGCAAGCTCAGGACTGGAATGAGCTGAGCTCTGACAAACCTCATCTTTCAGTTTCCTTAGGATGTGGCCAGGGAAGGAGGACCTAAGGAGCCAGAGTGCAATCAGCTCGTGAGGCTGCGCCTGATCAGCAGCAGCTTCACATGCTTGGCAGCAGACTGCAACAAGACAAGAGCCAGTTTGTAGCTGTGGGGAGCTGTCAATAACCACTCTGGAAGGTTTGTTGTAATAAGCTGCATGTGAAAGTGCAGACAACCAGATTGCCTGTCCTCTTCTCATTTGGAGTGTGTGTTAAACCCAGAAGTGAAGAAGAGCAGTCTTGTTTCTTTTTCCCTTGTGATTATCTCAGAAATGCCCCTCCTGCCAAGGGCGGAGATCTTCCCCTTGCCATCTCCTTCCCAGTCAGCAGTGGGAGAGATGGTCCTCATATGAAGGCTAGGGTCACTGCAGGAGCACAGAAGCAGAACCAGGAGTGCTGGGAGGGTGAGGACAAGCCCTCATCTTCCTCCTGCAGCTGGGACAGCGCCAGGGCAGGGCCAGGCAGACTGTCCTGCTGGGGGGTTGCTTGGCAAGACAGGTCCATGCAGGCCCACCTCCACCCACCAGCACCCTCACAACCCCAGGTTCTGATCCCGGTTTCCCATCTCATGTCCTGCTCTTTCTGCAGCCAAGGACCTGGCAGTCAAACTCAGGCCAGACCTGTCTTGTCTCCCCACTGGGATAAGAGAAGGCCTGTGTGCTGCAGGCAGACACGAGGTTTGGCAGAGGTGCAATGGGTGGCAACTGGTCCAGAGCTTCCACAAATCCCAGCCCATCGTGACGACTTTGCTTCCAGCCTCCTGGCTCCAGGTTTGTCTGGCACAGAAGTTTTTATCACTGTCTCAATACTAAACAGGCTGTCCTGTGACTGGTCTGTGGCCAACTGCATTTGCTCTGTCAAGTAAACTTTGATGCTAGTCATGGTTGTTTGCAGGGCCATGGTGGGTCCTCACGTTTGCGCTGTCTGTAGATGCATAGGCTTGAAACGGTCTTCCACTGGGCCAGGGAGGGTCTGGATGTACCCAGATGTTGTTCCTCCAGTGAGAAAACAAAGACCATAACTTCAAGGAGCACTACAGTCATGACCAGAGGGGTCTGGTGGCTCTTGGCCAGGGCAGAATTCCCAGGCACTAACCACGGACTGTGCAGGCAAGGTGTGTAATCCCAGGGTGTGGAGGTAAAACACCTACACTGCAGACAAGCTTGAACCTTTCTGCTGTCAGGCATGATTTTATCAGTCCATCCTCTCCTCTGCTGCCAGGACTCATGAAGCTGCACCTAAACTGGGGGAGAGTCTGAGCGGCTCATCCAGCAGCACTGTCCATGTGGCATAGTAGCAGTGGCATGGGCACTGGAAAAGGCAATGGCCAGATGGTGCTTCCTTCAAAACCATTTGAGTATCTACAGGACGGTTGGGATACGAGTGTCTGTGCTCCTTTACAATATTGCCATGGCTGGCTGGCTGGCACATGACACAGACGGGCCCTTAGTTACTTCCAATGACTGGCAGGTCCCCCCGCACAGCACAGAGGTAGTGAGGGAATTCCCTAAGATTGCCAGATGCAATGAGAGCCACAGAGCACGTGGAGACTGCAGCCAGGAATCTCGCTAACACACGTCTTGCTGCCAGCCTTGCATGATCCTGCAGACGTGCACTGACTTGATTTGTTGTGCTTTTGCATTTCTGGAGTAAGAGGGCTACTCATCTGCCAGAGGTATTTTTTCACATGAATTTTATGGAGTGCGGTAAATAAGCGTTGATGCTGTGTTGAATTAAAATTGAACTAAGATGTAACCCTTGCCTCTTGCCAGTTGGGGTCATGTGGCACTGCTAAGTTGGCTTGTGGAGACTGAATGAAATTGTATTCATTCAGTAAAATATTTTGGCAAAGCTATAGCATCCTGCTTCCATACTGTGGGCAGAGAGTAGTTCAGTGAGCAGAGAACTCCGGTGCCGTCACAGGGTTACCCTTCAGACTAGTAGCTGGCTGCAGCTAAAGGCTAAATGGGATTTTTACAATTCCAGAACAAGTTACAAACCAAAACAAAGTGCAAAGTAATCCCCCTGGCAGACAGTTACTTGGGGAAGCTGAAGTGTCAAGAGCTGGTGAGCTCTGCAGCCTCCGTGCCAGCCTCTGCTTGAAGATGATGCTGCAGTGAAGCAACTTCCTTGCCCCCTTGGCTGCAGCAGCTCTGCACTGTGGGTGCTGAGCAGGAGACTGCCATGCCCAGTGGGATAGGATTTATCGTTGTCTTTAAATATCCTTTAAAGCAAAGTAAGCCTTTGGGGAATTCTACCCCCATTGTTCTAGCAAACTGAAGAGTTTCTACAAAGCCAAAAACCTGAGCATCTGTTTCATACCTTCAAACAGAAGTGTAATCACCTGAGCCATGTTCTGCAAAGCGTGCACTCACCCAGTGGAAGAGCAACCCAGCAGTTTGGATTTGGGGCTGGGATGGGCAGTGCCCGCTCCTCCTGTGCTCACGGGGTCTTCATGCCAAGGGTCTCCATGTGAATGGCCTGATGTGCTGCCGTGGGAGCCATGTCCTTACCTTGCCCAGGCCAGTGACTGTTTCTGAGGCATGGGGGACCAGTGTCCACGGGCTTTGTTGGAACTCAGGCTGCTCCTGGGCCCATGTTGATGCCGCAGGGAATGGGGAAGTGGGAGAAGTAGCAGCGTTGCCATGGCAGTGTGGCAGCAGGGATGCAGGCTCTTTTTCTTCCACTTTTTAACTCACTGGGAGCCAACACAAAGGGTTGTGAGGCCCTGGGGAGGCAGCAGGATAGGGCTTGGGCAGCCCCAGTGCCAAGATGCAGCATGGCCTTGCCTCCCCAGCACTCAGTCTGCCTTTAGGACAACTGGGGTTTTCATGTAGGGAAAAAGTAGTCTGTGTTTCCAAAGCTTCTCTCCTCTCCTTTTTTCTCTTTTTCTTCCAATTTTGCAGCTGTAATTCCCATTAGGAAGGCTGATTCCTGCTGATAAGGGCAGGAGGCGAGGTCATTGCTCCTGAGGGAAGTTACACATAAATATGAAAGATGTTGCTGCTCAAAACTTAGAGATTTCAGACCTGATTGTTTCTCTGTCCCAGATTTTGCAAAACATTTATTGACATTTTTTAGTTTTTCCTGGGAAATTAACCTGACTCCTCTGACAATCTAGAAGATGACTGAAGTAGTGCATCTCCTGCGGCCAGTCAGGCTGCCTGTGTGTCCTGATTCCAGCAAGGGCAACATGCCTAAACACACCGGTAACAATGTGAAGAGGTCAAGTACAGGTGGGGCCCATGTCAGGTGTTCCCACTGGCAGTGTCACCATAGCTCTCCTTCTCACTGCTGCAGGTGTGCTCCTTCTGCCAGGAGTGAGCCCTGACCTTGTTTTTGCCTGAGGATATTATGAGTTAGGAATTGGAGGATGAGGAATAGTTGTTGGCTGAGCCATTCAGTAGCTTCCAGGGATAGGAGGCTCAGTGGTACTGGCAGGGATTGGGTCCCCTGATCAGACCTTTTGGTGGGAGCGCTGCTCCCTCCTCCTCCTCCTCTCTGGTTCTTGGCTGCCACTGGCTGCAATGGGATTCTCAGTCCTAAGTGCTTATAGCCCAAAGTGCCCACAGTCAGAAATTGCCCTCCCTGGGTGCTGAAGGGTGTTTGATTCCAGCAGTTGGGTGTAACCCTCTGTAATGCAGAAATCAGCTGAAAAGTTGCAGCCAGGATTTTGAACAGGCTCAGACACTGCCCAAAGAAAAGTGAGCAACGGCCCCCAGATCAATCACTAATAACAATTGTGAATGTTTTCCCCTGACAGGAGCAGAGACAAGCTTTAACTTCATCTAAATCCCATTTAATCGGCTTTCCAAAGCAGCCTTAAAGAGAGACTGGAAACCCAATCAGAATCCATCCATTTTGTGCAGTGCTTGTTTAGAAGTTACGCCTGCGAGATCCGCCCAGTGTGTGAGTGTGCCTTCCTCACACAGCGACTGCCTTAACATCATCATTCTATCAGAGATCACTCAGCTGTTGGGGATCTGTGATAACAATGACTTAGAACCAGGCCAGCAAGGAATTCAGACAAACTGCTCCAAGCTGCCTCCATCGCATGTACATTTCCATTTTTCACACTCTTTGTGTCTGCAGCATAGAAGGTTCTTTTCACTCCTATAGTTATGTGTTTACAGTTGCTCCAGGCCTCCAAATACACCTGGCATCAAACTCTCTCTAATTGTATAAGAAATGCTTTCAGTTTTAGGAGCTGAAATCAAGTGCCATTCCTGCTGTGCTCTGCCTGCCCTGCAGCTCCACGCTGGGTTTTGGTTCCATCTCAATATGTGTTCTAGTGCTTTGGTTGCCTTCCAAAACAGCCAGGCTGACTTGCAGCTCCTTAATAA